GAGCATACTTGGTCTCTGCTCATTCAATCTCTGACCTTGTTGCGGCTATTATTTTAGAGCGTACTGAACAAAGTCCTAGAATAAATAAACAAAAATAGACAAAAGCTACTAAGTCACTGTGAGACAACTGTGTTGCACCACGGACTACTTGTGCTTTATTTTATGTGTAGAAACGTTCTAACTTTAAATTATGACAGTTAGTTCGGTAACATTAAAAGGTAGCCTTTTCTTTTTTTAATGTGCCTGTAAAGTTATTTAATCCTTCTGTGCCTTTTTCTTTAAATAGCAAGTGTTGTAAATATATATGAGCTTTAGTTTTCAACATTTGAAATATTATGCCATAGGGAATTTATAGTAGGAAATGCGTTTAACAATTAACTTGGTTTTTACCTCTCAGATCAATTTCATTTGAAGTAAAATGTTTGGTTTTTCTAAAAAATTTAATTTATCTACATTTTCCTCAGTTTATACAGCTAGGCAAAAATTCATTAGAATTTTAAACTGATGAGCCTTAACTAAATCACAACTATCATACAGCTGTCACAGTAATAATCATAGTTTGACAGCTATGCAAAAATGTGTCATCGTACCTGCATATCATAAAAGTTTAAGCCTGCCACTTGAGTAACTTCCCATACCAAGTATCACTGTAATTAATCTGTTGTTATAGATTAGCCTCTACAAATATCAGCTGTATTAACTAAATGCCAGYGTTACCTATTCCAAATAATCTTCTTAAATCAAAAAGACATAAAAAATACATATATGAAGGACAAGGCAGAGGTGAAGAAGTATTTCCAGGCTAGGAGAGACATGAGAGATGATAATCAGCTTTGGACTGTGCCACGAAAGAGAGTTTGGGGATGAAAATCAAGTTTTCCTACAACTACAGAACAGGCTCAAACCTTGCACGTACCTTGTCGGTACATTTGGCAGAAATTCCCTCAAGATGCTGACAACCTAAATAGAAGCATGCGGACACTGAGGACAGTGCTATAGAGCTGGGTTAGTTGTGCTGCCCAAGCACACTCCTAAGCAGTAGAGAACATTACTCAACTAATGTGATGATTCATTTCAAGTGATTTCCATCATCTCCAGTCTTCATTTCACTATCTTTTCCTATCCTATGGGAAAAGTCACGTCACAGCAGGCCTGCTACCCATGTCCTTATAATACACCACCACTCATTTCCTTTCAGTTGATAGGAACAGTGCCACTGCACAGACAAAACAGTGCCTGCAAGAAATAAGGAGCAGGATAAAAACCAGATGGCTGAAGTTAAGTGCAGGGAAGACAGGAGTAATGCTTGTTGGGAGGAGAAATCATTTTGATGAGCTAAGACTGAACAAAGGAGCACAGCCTGCAACAGCATAAATATCAGAATACCTTGAAAGAAATCTTGTTATCTGTACCCCATAAAAGAAAGGCTCAATTCTTTTCAAGCAACTACCAGATTAACTTGACACAGGATTTTTTTATTCAACATGAGAWCAGTGCTGCTTTAGCTCTTTAGAAGTCTATCTGACAACCACAATCAAAAACTGCATTTTGAAAAATGTTAAGCAATTACAATATATGTCCGGAATATTGACAGCATAGTCCATTACTGTACATCTGCATCTTCATGATTTGCTTCCAGGCTGACACAGGCCTTGGCAGCAATAATCAAGACTCCAAATTTCCAAGCAACTGACCCTATCCCTACCAAGACAAACATTTATCAACAGCAGAGGAATCAGAAACGCCTATGCAAGCCCAGGCTGGGACAAAAAGAAATTTACCATTCTAATGAATAAGGTTCAAAATTTAAAATCTTAATGAAAACAGGGCACATCACATTTTAATTGGAGTGAGCTCTAAGAACTCCAGGCAAACACCACATTTGCTACGAGCTTCCCTGCTTCCGCTAGAGTGCAAAGCAACAAGAGCAAGCTTATAACATTTCCGTCCGTGCAAGCGTATTATTTTTCATCAGCTCCATAATTTTAAGATGAAACTTTAAGGAAATGAAAGCAAAAGCTCCTTGCCATTGCGTTCTCAACTACGCATAACCAGTGTTATATCATGAATTGATTCAGTGATCCGACTTTGATTTTTTAAATTAGACTTGTAGTCTCGTGGGTAAAGGTAGCAGGCACTGATCCAATAACATTCTGGAAGGTATCTGCATGCTAATTTAGAGACTCAGAAAAGCACAAAATTAATATAGAAGCTATTAAAGAGAATACCCTAATGTTCTGAAGCCAGTGTTTTAGGGATTTTTCTTGAACATAGAAAATAATCATCACACAGCTATGTTTCTTCTAATACCCAGGCAAATCCATTCTTTGTCCTGCGCTAAAGATTTTTGTCAATGACCTGGAAAATACAAAGCTTCCTCAAGGACTGGATGACATGTTCCTCAGTAGTCCCTGAAAATAAGGGAGAGTGATATAAAGCTGCCGTGACACTGACTTCCTGGGAAACCAGCATTTCAGGATGAACAAAAGTAATCTGGTGATTACGGAGAAAGCTGAGACAGACAGGTAAGAGACGTGGCTAGGCTCAGCTTTACGGTGCAATACTCTGGCCAAACAGCTAACAGCCTCTGAACTCCTCTGCAAAATGAGGAATCTAGAAACTGGTACTAGGGAGGTCCTATTTCATTCTTACTTTACATTGACCTAATTACTTCTAAAATGCAAAGTCCATACTTCAAGAWGGATGACAATACATTGGAGGGGATATAGAAGATATAGAAGGGAATGGCTGGCCAAAAGGATTTTTTTTTCTAATTAACAAAAAACTTCAGAAGCTTACTTGTTTTTCTTAATAAAGAGATCATTAGGCAATGAACTAATGAAAACTCTGAAGAACACAGAATTGAGGAAAAAAATAGTGGGACTATTATCAATGTTTTTGAAGGTACAAGATTCTTCGGCTAAAAGTAGAAGGTAATCACCTCCAGATCACCAGCAYGAAACAAAAGGTAAATCGGCCATTTGTTGGGTATTTTACCTAGAACTATGTCAAATCCTGCCTCGCTAGAGAATTTTAAGCCAGCCTCCTCAAACACAGAAGCTCTGGTTTCAACCCAAACTGAGGAGAAGTCTCCTGGCCTGCACGATGAAGATGTTAGACGAGATGACTGCAGCAGYCCTTCTGGCTCGATAGCCTATTAATCTTATCACGCAGATCAGCACACACGTGCGCCTGCTTTGAGCGCTCAGTACAAACCCATCCACAGGCACTCCTATTTTGCCCTTAGGTTTTAACCCTAAGACTTTTACCTTTAAACACCACAGAGCCTGGAGCTGCGGCTACATCGCGTCAGATACAAATAGCGGGCAACAACAAAACCGCCTCCCCTAGAAGAAATCCATTCCCGCTGGCAGAGCTAGGCAAGGAGCAGGGGCCGCCCCGCGCCTCGGCACTTCCCTGCACTTTACCGGGCCCCGGGGGTGCGAACAAGCCCCTCTGGGGGGAGGCTCCGCGCCGCGGCGACGCGACGCGACAGCGGCAACAAAAGGCGCCGGCTGCCGCGGCGCGCGGAGGGCCCGTGCGGCGCGGAGGGGCCGCGGGGCCCCTCTCG